CTTTTGCCTTCAATTAGTTACAATCTACATTATAACCCATTCAAGTGATTTTATTGAGTACAGGGTATTAAATTTTGCTTTGAGTCTAGCCTACGCGATATCTTCCTCAGTAACTGATCGTGTCAGGCAATTTACTTCCAATTCCATTCACATTAAGTAATGCTACATACAGGTATATTTGTATGTTTATATACATACGTACGTATGTATGAATGTAAACATACATTTGTATATGTAAACGTTTGAACGTTTTACCTGTTGAATTTGTCGGTCGGGCACTTTCGAATTCCTCGGTATTCCGTTGGCGAAATACTCCATGTACAGCGCTGTCCGTGCCGTTTACCTGCAAGTGCAATACGATTATTCTGCAGATTTATTAATGCCCATTCTTACAATCTAAAATTAGCAATTCTTCGGCTTTATTGTAACAATTTAAACAGCTGTGGCCTCAGCTGGTCAGGCCTAACGCCCGCACCAACACCAACAAAACTGCAACAACAACGAACATTTTCGCATGCGTCATAAACTTAACTGTAAAAGTATTACAGTCAAAACACGGACACAAAATATAAACCGGTGTGTGTGTGTGTGCGAATATCAACGACAATGCGAATTAGAGATGGGCTTTCGCCAAAAAATATTCTAATGAGTGTTTTGAGCACGAATAGTTAATTGTATTTGAGAAGAATTGTTTATAAATTGGATAAGTGTGACTTCGTTCAAATGGAGACCAAAGAAATAGGCAGTTTCTAACGATTCTCTCTAGTACAAGCCATTTTTTAAATAACTATCGAAACAAGTTAGACCTACATCGATTAATTGCATTAATTAGCGCAGCTCTTAAAGTCATTCATGAGTAAATGAGAGCGACTCTAAGAACCCTTTTATCGATATGTATTGCGCGCCTCTCACGTTCTCATCCCCATATCAATTGACAAAACACACACACACACTAATAAACAAAGAGCGAATACACCCGCTTTGGGTCTGTTTCCGCTGCGCCTTATCGTCGTTGGCATTCAAAGTTTTATCAGATACTTCTTAACCTTTATAAGTGACTTTCATCGAACTAATTGGCAAGTTTTTAAAGTTGCGTGATTTGTATATTACGCACCTGTGATTCGTAGGCTGCATAGCGTGGCGCAGTCTGCGTCTGCTGCTGAGTTGAGCGCGTTGTCGTTGTCCGTCCGCCGCTATCGAATGTGAGACGCCGCCGGAAGCCCCAGATTTTGATGCCCAGCAGCACAAATACGAGGCTCATCAGAAGCATGAGCGAGTTGAGCCAAGGACCAAGGGCCGCTTGCCCACCTGTGCAGGACACTTGATAAGCGATCGGATCTCACAGAAGGTAGCTAAACTTACCTTGGCCCACATACGTTAGCTGAGCCATCACTGCTATTCGCTTGTGGCCAGCATTTCGCAGTTGCACACCTGATTTTTATGAATTTTTTGCTTTTCGTCTTCAGTTCAGTTGAGTTCAGTTCACCACGTTGGCGTTAATCGAACGCCAGTGCCGCAGCTCTTGGCTCTCGGCTGTTGGCTCTCCCCGTTCTCAGCGCTTGCCGTCCGCACCACAGCGCGCCCGTTAACTGATTGAGCGGCGTTGACGTCGCCGTTTGTTAACTGCCAACGCTCAACACGTTATCGCAATGATATCGTGGCGCTCCCAGTGTTTGGCTCTCGCTGATTGGTTTGCTGGTTTGTTGGTGGGTCGCTCTTCTTTCACCCACTGCTCTTTGATTCGGCCCGCTTTGGCCGTCAAGCAGCACAGGGTATCTGGCGCAGTTTTGATTTATCAGCCATTAACGATTGTTACCTGTTACCAATTGTTTGACAGTCGCTTGGCGGTCACTGATAAGCGATTGTCTTTATATCATGTTTGTCTATTTTGTCTGGCAGACTTACAGCATGAAATTCACCTCACAACAATTCGTTATCATTATGTCGTTAGTCTATTATACACTAGATCTTCTGTCTAATACAAATACTCTAACTTACACTATCCGATTGGTTAAATGTTGAAACCAAAGCCATTAAATGCGTTAATTTTTAAAATTTTGTGGTACCCAAGATGTAAATATTCTGGATGTGTGTGTGCTCTAAAATATTCTACATCCTATGTTTGTTATTTCTTTCTTTCTCAGAAATAACATAAACTTGTATAAAACCTTTTTAATCATTTAATTAGTGGATAAAGTGTATCAAGAGCATCGCTACCGAACCCCTAGCTGATGCTTATATGATCCTACATTGGTTCACATCGGTTTGCTATTTGTAATGCCGTTACGCATTCTAAAGTTATGTTTATTGATAAATCAAAGCTTGACATATTTTAATTGATACCGCTTTGAAATGATATCATATCGACTGGTTATGATTACAGATGGTAGAAATATATGTATGCCAATTAAAAATTCGTTTTTAGTGACCTAATAAGACTAAACTAAGTCGCAAAGTTCTATCATCAGCAGACCTTCCTATAGACTGAAGGTCCTCAGTCCGAAGCTATAAGCCCTTGGGAATTATGATTTCAAAGATTAATAATTTTTAAATTTTGTACATAGTTTATTTGCTTATCTAATAAGTAACACGTATTTCTGTTTCTGCCTAATGTCAGCCTGCCAGCGGGTGTTCATGTGGGACGATCCAATATCAAATCTGTTGCTGAGAAGCGTTTACCTTTGATACAGCGTTTCCTGAAATCGCTTTTCGATGCAGCGGAGGAAATAGCGCACTCCGATTTGGTATACACATTCTTTCATCCGCTGTTGCGCGACCAGCAGGAGGCCAAATTGGAGATGCCCAAGATAAGAGGTACGTAGACGTCTGCTGTAAAAGGCTAGATTAACAACTGGTTTCCTTGCAGAGGTCAAGCGGCAGCCATCGCGAGATAATCCGAATGAAATTGGCCAGATACGTCTATCGCTGCAATACCAACGCGGCGTGTTAACTGTGATGGTGCGTTAGCTAATGCTGTACAACTAAAGGACCTTGCTCTAATGCGATGTCTTATTTTAGATACACCACGCCAAAGGACTGCCCATGCTGCAGGGTGGCCAGGAGCCGAACACATATGTCAAATGCTACCTGAAACCGGATCCAACCAAAGTGACCAAACGCAAAACCAAAGTGGTACGCAAAACCTGTGTGCCCAGCTTCATGGAGACGGTAAGGGAACAGCCGCATTCCTCAATTTCAGAACTGCTGACTATATGTGAAACTTAATATCTCAACAGTTGGAGTACCGCATGCCTCTGGATATTGTGCAGCAACGCAGGCTGCAGGTGACTGTCTGGTCACATGATACGCTGCAGGAGAACGAGCTGCTTGGCGGCTTTGAATTGGATCTCGCTAAACATGATTTGCGTCAGGAGCTGTGCGATTGGCATCGCTTGGGATCAGTGCCTAGGAATTGAAGCGACAATCTGGCCTAGTTTCATATACACGCACACACTCAATCGAGCCCTCACACTCACTCACACTCACACACACACATACACATACATATATGTTAGTGCCTGTCTATTCAATGCAATAATACTTACATACTCAAAGTGATTGTACATTCCACATTATACTTATTATCTTTACTTACATATACAAATAATTTAGCTGAACTCTACCTATCACTTGTATATAACGTACACACATGCACACGGACACGCATACGCACACACACTCAACGACAAACACATTGAGAAATGGCACACACATAACATACTCTTCTCGCAATTGGTATTCAGCTTTTGCACAAACTTTAACAGATCAGATGAAATTTTGTATATGTACATAAATCAACCAAATATAAGTGATACGTGCTGATCGATAGTGAATACTTTTCGTATATATTCAGGGTAGTCCATGGAATACTGTAGAGGGCACAATTCTTAAGCTAGTTTTCGTTGATTTCCGTCGCAATTGTCGACATGCAATATTATCGCCTTGTCAGTTTTGCCAATTCAGCTATTAAATTTAAACTGTTGAAATTGTAACTATATTTTTTTTTGGCATCTCAATGTCATTTGCTACCCTGTTTAATGCCAGTTTGTGCTCAGAAAGCTAATTCAGCAATATTAAACATTTTATTTAACTAGGACGCGGCAGTTGGCAAAACTGGCACTGGGCCAAATTTTAGACCCCGCCCCTAGTTTACCAAGCCTTGGTTCAAGACATATGTGAAGAAGCAAAAGTTTGTTTTTACAGTATTAAAGCCCTGACAGTGGACGGGATTTTCATTCAATTTAAAATTAATTATGGCTATAGCCAAATATCAACGGTTATTTAAAATGCATCATTACATTCGGGTCATACTAAAAAAAAGGACGATTCATTATCATGCTGGGATCATAATTGAATTAATATACGACTGTTTATAACCCTATTGTCTAAGAATTTGCAGGATTGTCAATCGGTTTTATCTGACTAAAACTAAAATTCCAAATATCGCTTACTGCCAAATCAGCTTGTGTGCGGCAAATATTCTAAAGATTCTTAAATAGTTGCGATCCAAAGAATATTACATACTATATTATATGATGATTCATGGTGTATTCACTGGGTCACCGCAAAAGCTGTTAAAAATAAAACTACAAGTTTTTATTTTTCTTTTATACAATTGGATGACATTTTGTCGTTCCCACAAGAAAAGAATAGAAAAAACATTTTATAGTATATATATTTTTCTAATCAAATTGAGCAAAGATCTTTTAAAACGATTTAATACGCTAACTGCACACTAATAATTAATATGCACAAGCCTAAAACATTTCTTTGCTAAGAATGTTAAAGGTTAGCTTAACTTCATAGAATTTGCATGAAAATGTGTAATAAACAAGCCCAAATTGTATTTATGCTAACAATAAATATAATTTATCAAGTGTCTTACAAAATGATATTGGCGACTTTTTTTTGTTGAAAAGATTTGCCAAAGAGTCTGCTTCAATATTTAAGTATACTTTTATTCAGTTGTAATATGTATATACATTTGTCAAAACTTTTTAAACAGACATTTGCTTACTGTATAGAAACAAACTTGTAATAGACAAACTATCCAAATATTGTGTTATTTTTATTGAAAAATTGCAAGTTAAATATTCAAGCATAATAATGGCCCAAAAACAAATTGGCAAAGGGGAGGTGATCAGTCAAGTGAGGCAACAGATTGCCGTGGCGAATGCCCAGGAGATGCTCTCTAAGATGACCGAGAAGTGCTTCAAAAAGTGCATCTATAAGCCGGGAAAAGCATTGGATGGCACCGAGCAGCGTTGTATTACCCAGTGTATGGATCGTTTTTTGGACACATGGAACCTCGTCTCCCGCACCTATGGCAGTCGCTTGGAACGTGAGCATCTGAACTCAATGCGCAGTGAGAATGCGTTAAACTGAAACAAAATTTACCTGTAATAAAGGAGATTTTATTCTCTGTGTCTTTTAACGTAATTCGTGTGTAATGTGTATCGGACAAGCGTCTTTCAGCTGGCGACTACCCAGCCCCATGCGCTTATCACTCGAGCAAAAGATAAGCCAGCGAAAAGTGCAACCGCAGCTATTGCAATAGGGAGGGGCTGGATGGATGATGGACGTACCGCTTAGCTTGATATGCGCGAAATTTAACGATCGTTATCGTGTTTGGAATGGTCTCGTTAGCTAACGGATGAACATTGACCAAAGCGCACCTTACAGCGTAGTGTAGTTTCGAGACCACTCTAATCCATTGCATCGCTTCTGGGCATATGCAAATTTTGACCATTACCAAGATATGTTTTATAAAAAAATGCCAGCTAGGGTACTTTCTATGCTAGGCGCCTTTTTTTTGGAATCAGCTATCAAAGCGTAAGGCTACCTTGAGAGTTGAGTAAAGAATTTCAATGGTCCTTCATTTTACTCTTAATTAGGGCAAATAATGAATGCGATTCTTCTTCTGTAGAAAATTGCGCAAGGCTTTTTGTTCAGCTGTGAATTTTGGCAATTGTTGATTTTTATAGTTCCTACAGCACAATAAGACTAAATTTTGTCTATAGATATTTTTCTGTAGACCAAGTTAAAGGTTCGACCTTGCATAGAAATTAGAAAACAACTGCATTTCCTCGCAAGATGTTAAAAATATTTTATTGAAAATGGCAAACAAATTTTTAACCCGATAATATAACCAGGTAAAGAAGTTATTAAATTAAAATAATAAAGTAAAAAGAGTTTTTTTAAAGAAGAAAGCATACAAATAGATAATTTAAATAGACAAAATGAATATATCTTGGCGAAATACTTTATTCCAGTTTCTGTCAGCACAAATTGAGTAATAGACAAAATATTTTCCGGCTACCTATTTTATTTTAGGCACTCCGTGTGATCCGTTAATTCAAGATAAATGATCTAATACAGACGAAATTGTCGAACGAGTTCATCTAAACATTTTGTCTGAAAGAGTGTAAAGTTTTAGATGAACATTTCTCCACTCCTCCGTCTAGCTGAAAGAATATAAATTATTTAAATCAACATATTATTGCAATACCTTATCTTAAGCAAGTGACTTATAGACATCGAAACTGGCGATCGTATTAAACTTGATTTTTGATAATAAGTCACGTAAAACAACAAATGTGCTATCAGGTATGTTTCTATCAATGTGGAGGGGAATTCTGAATAAGTGGAGGTGACCCGTTGACTTGCCAAAATTTGGTGCAAAAAATTTAAAAAAAAAAAGTGAAAAATGAAAAATAAAAATCGAAATATAATAAAAAAATGCAAAAGATAAAATGTGAACCGGTGGCCGAACTTATTGGCTCGAATACCAAAGGCAACAAAATCCAAACGTTGAATTCGTTCCTCAACCAGGTACATTCAAGCCACACAAGTTACGATAAGAGCCCGAACCAAAAGGCCAATATATAGTGGAGCTCTGTGCTTTCAACCAAAAGCTCCTCGGCCCAGCACTAAAAATAGTCACAACACCAACAAGTGCGGTGGGTTTGAGTAATCATGGCAAGAACACGATAAGTAGAGCCCTCGGCACCTTATCTTGCCAACTAATCGGACCGCCGGCTGGCAACTCTTTGCGGGATCGGGGCTGCGGGGGCCTCTCTATGGTATATGCTAACACAAATCGGAAAATAACGCCGGGTACGTTTATACTTATCGTAATAGGCAAAACGTCAACGCAGGGTGATTAATGATACCCGCCACTTGACAAGATTATACGACTCGAGAGTATCTTAAATTGGACTATTAAACAAGGTTACAATGCTTTTTGATAATCTAACAGAATATCGAAATGGGGAGACAGATTCTAGCATCCTCTTAAAACAGAAATTCGATTCTTTAATCTAGATGAAAATTTAAATAGTTATATTCAGATTAAAGTAATATTATATTCGAAAAGGCTCTATGTAAAAGAAGGCAGAAATGGTTGAATTTTAAATGTTATATTGATTGAGCTATATTTAAGGGCGGGGGTGAAAGTTAGATCAGAAAAATATTTCAACAACAACTTACGTTTCTTGTCAACCGAATAATGAACATATGTCCTATAGGAATTCTACGCCGATTTCTGAAGAATTTGCAAATACATTAGAATGCGCAGATATCTGTTAATTTATTTAAAATCATAACGTTGTCGACAGAAAGTTGTTAACAATTTCTAAATGTCAGATAGGAAACTGGCTCTCGCGAGCCACTTACGATCCGTTCATGTAAATATGTAAAGACTTTAAGTTAATTGTTTTTGTCTGTTGGGTATAAAAGGAAATGTGGAGCCAGTGCAGAGCGCATTTTACCGGATAAAAATTTAAAATGCAATTGGGTAAGTCAAATGGCGCATAATAAAGACTCAAATAGAATAGATTCAGCGTCGTTTTGTCTTTAGTGAACTTCCTGTGGATAGGTCTGTTGACGATCCCGCAGGCATTCGCCTTGGATGCATGTGCTGGACAAAATTTTGGATATAAAGCTATCGATCCAGCTGATCCCCATGCATACTACTTGTGCCTGGGTTTGGTGGGCAAAATAAGAAATACTTGCGCGGAGGGATTTCGCTTTAATGTGCAAGGACAAAACTGTGCACAAGTCCAGCTGCCAAGCGACCCTGCCCCAAATGCAGCCAGCGGGCCCAATAATCAGTTCAATATAAATCAGAACATAACCCTTGACAGGCCCATCATTTTCAATATCTTCGGCTACCTGTTTAATCGACCCCCGAAACCACATTTCCCCACAACAACGCCACCATCAATCGGAACTACCACTAAAGCTCTCCCCGAACAGAATGAATCCACGACAATAACTCAGTTATTACCAAAAACTACAACACACGGTATAAATACCACTCCAGATGGACTGGACAGTTCTACTCGAAGCTCAACTTCCGGCTCACTGCAGTCTACTGCGACAGTAACTAAACCATCAGAAACTTCTACCGAGAGTTCTAGTTCCAGCAGCGAGGCCTCAGCCTCAGTAGTTCCAGAAACATCATCCAGTTCCGAAGCCTCATCTTCAGTAGTTACAGAAACATCAGAAAGCTCTACTGAGAGCTCTCTTTCAAGCTCTGAGGCTTCATCTTCTTCGGAAGTAACGGACCCATCAGTAAGTTCCACTGAGAGCTCTAGTTCAAGCTCTGAGGGCTCATCTTCTTCTGAAATAACGGAGTCATCAGAAAGTTCCACTGAGAGCTCTAGTTCCAGTTCCAAAGAACCATCGGAAAGTTCCACTGAGAGCTCCAGTTCCAGTTCCGAAGCCTCATCTTCAGTAGTTACAGAAACATCAGAAAGCTCTACTGAGAGCTCTATTTCAAGCTCTGAGGCCTCATCTTCTTCAGCAGCAACGGAACCATCGGTAAGTTCCACTGAGAGCTCTAGTTCCAGTTCCGAGGAACCATCAGAAAATTCCACTGAGAGCTTCAGTTCCAGTTCCGAAGCCTCATCTTCTTCAGCAGTAACGGACGCACCAGAAAGTTCCACGGAGAGCTCTAGTTCAAGTTCTGAAGAACCGTCAAAAAGTTCCACTGAGAGCTCCAATTCTAGTTCCGCGGAACCATCTGAAAGTACCACTGAGAGCTCTAGCTCAAGCTCTGAGGGCTCATCTTCTTCGGAAGTAACGGAACCATCAGAAAGTTCAACTGAGAGCTTCAGTTCCAGTTCCGAAGCCTCATCTCCTTCAGCAGTAACGGAACCATCAGAAAGTTCCACTGAGAGCTCTAGTTCAAGCTCTGAGGGCTCATCTTCTTCTGGAATAACGGAACCATCAGAAAGTTCAACTGAGAGCTCCAGTTCCAGTTCCGAAGGACCATCAGAAAGTTCCACTGAGAGCTCTAGTTCAAGCTCTGAGGGCTCATCTTCTTCTGAAATAACAGAGCCCTCAGAAAGTTCCACTGAGAGCTCTAGTTCCAGTTCCGAAAAACCGTCAGAAAGTTCCACTGAGAGTTTTAGTTCCAGTTCCGAGGAACCATCAGAAAATTCCACTGAGAGCTTCAGTTCCAGTTCCGAAGCCTCATCTTCTTCTGCAGTAACGGACGCACCAGAAAGTTCCACGGAGAGCTCTAGTTCAAGTTCTGAAGAACCGTCAAAAAGTTCCACTGAGAGCTCCAATTCTAGTTCCGCGGAACCATCTGAAAGTACCACTGAGAGCTCAAGCTCAAGCTCTGAAGGCTCATCTTCTTCGGAAGTAACGGAACCATCAGAAAGTTCAACTGAGAGCTTCAGTTCCAGTTCCGAAGCCTCATCTTCTTCAGCAGTAACGCTACCATCAGAAAGTTCCACTGAGAGCTCTAGTTCAAGCTCTGAGGGCTCATCTTCTTCTGGAATAACGGAGCCATCAGAAAGTTCAACTGAGAGCTTCAGTTCCAGTTCCGAAGGAGCATCAGAAAGTTCCACTGAGAGCTCTAGTTCAAGCTCTGAGGGCTCATCTTCTTCTGGAATAACGGAGCCATTAGGAAGTTCCACTGAGAGCTCTAGTTCCAGTTCCGAAAAACCGTCAGAAAGTTCCACTGAGAGTTCTAGTTCCAGTTCCGAAAAACCGTCAGAAAGTTCCACTGAGAGCTCTAGTTCCAGTTCCGATGAACCATCAGAAAGTTCCACTGAGAGCTCTAGTTCAAGCTCTGAGGGCTCATCTTCTTCAGCAATAACGGAACCATCAGGAAGTTCCACTGAGAGCTCTAGTTCCAGTTCCGAAGAACCGTCAGAAAATTCCACTGAGAGCTTTAATTCAAGTTCCGCGGTACCATCTGAAAGTACCACTGAGAGCTCTAGCTCAAGCTCTGAAGGCTCATCTTCTTCGGTAGTAACGGAATCATCAGAAAGTTCAACTGAGAGCTCCACTTCCAGTTCCGAAGCCTCATCTTCTTCAGCAGTAACGGAACCATCAGAAAGTTCCACTGAGAGCTCTAGTTCAAGCTCTGAGGGCTCATCTTCTTCTGGAATAACGGAACCATCAAAAAGTTCAACTGAGAGCTCCAGTTCCAGTTCCGAAGGACCATCAGAAAGTTCCACTGAGAGCTCTAGTTCAAGCTCTGAGGGCTCATCTTCTTCTGAAATAACGGAGCCATCAGATAGTTCCACTGAGAGCTCTAGTTCAAGCTCTGAGGGCTCATCTTCTCCTGAAATAACGGAGCCATCAGAAAGTTCAACTGAGAGCTCCACTTCCAGTTCCGAAGCCTCATCTTCTTCAGCAGTAACGGAACCATCAGAAAGTTCCACTGAGAGCTCTAGTTCAAGCTCTGAGGGCTCATCTTCTTCAGCGATAACGGAACCATCAGAAAGTTCAACTGAGAGCTCCACTTCCAGTTCCGAAGCCTCATCTTCTTCAGCAATAACGGAACCATCAGAAAGTTCCACTGAGAGCTCTAGTTCAAGCTCTGAGGGTTCATCTTCTTCGGAAGTAACGGAATCATCAGAAAGTTCAACTGAGAGCTCCACTTCCAGTTCCGAAGCCTCATCTTCTTCAGCAGTAACGGAACCATCAGAAAGTTCCACTGAGAGCTCTAGTTCAAGCTCTGAGGGCTCATCTTCTTCTGGAATAACGGAGCCATCAGAAAGTTCAACTGAGAGCTTCAGTTCCAGTTCCGAAGGACCATCAGAAAGTTCCACTGAGAGCTCTAGTTCAAGCTCTGAGGGCTCATCTTCTTCTGGAATAACGGAGCCATCAGATAGTTCCACTGAGAGCTCTATTTCAAGCTCTGTGGGCTCATCTTCTCCTGAAATAACGGAGCCATCAGAAAGTTCAACTGAGAGCTTCAGTTCCAGTTCTGAGGAACCATCAGAAAGTTCTACTGAGAGATCTAGTTCCAGTTCCGAAGCCTCGTCTTTTTCTGCAGTAACCGATCAAACAGAAAGTTCTACAGAGAGCTCCAGTCTTAGCTCCGAGGCACTATCGTCTTCATCCGCTGTAACAGAAGCAGTTGAGTCCCCTACCGAAGTTTCTGCTGAAGCCGCAGTTCAATTTCTTCCAATCAGTTTCAATGCTGGAAAACCGGGTGAGAGATTAGAAAACACATTGTTGAGACCAACAGCGCTTGGAGCTAAATTTTCCACTGCTGGAACCAAAGAAAGTTCATATTGCGCCCTTCTGCCAAATGGTGCATACATAAGAGACCCAAAGACCTGTAGTAAATTTTATGTTTGTGCAAATGGACAATCCATTTCTCGAAAGTGTCCTGGAAATCTCAATTTCGACATCGAAAAGAAGATTTGCAATTTACCCAGCCTTGTGGATTGTTCCAAGCAACAGCAACTATTCTCCATGCCAAAATTATTGGAGCTTAGTTCACCCAATGCCGTTGGCATTAGCTCTGAGAACTTGTCAACTTCTGATGGGAGGAAACCATCCTTGGACGCATCATCGACAATTGAAGCAATAAGTGAAACTTCAAAGGATATTTCGTCCGAAAATAATCACTTATTATCTGAAAATCCATTATCAGCCTCTGCAATCACGGAAATTAGGTTGGGTAATTCAACCGAAGAGCACACAAAGCTGAGTTCAGCGGAAGATGACAGCTCCAGCTCTGGGATTGGATTGCAAATCTCTAAACATTTTGCACTAGCAGGACCAGCAATTGAGAACCTTAAACAGTTCAAACCGACCAGCCTCAAGCAAGGTATACGCGAAAAGAATCCTGAGCTGGTTCCATCGGAAATTGAGGAAAGGTCAGTCTGCAGCTCTTTACCAAATGGCGCCTATCTAAGGGACTCCAAGTCGTGTAGCAAATTCTATATATGTGCCAATGGCCACGCGATTTCACGTAGCTGCCCAAAAAATCTGTACTTTGACGTCAAGAAAAAGGTTTGCAATTTCCCCGAACTTGTGGAATGCCTAATAAGCGAAGACCCAAGTAGCAATTATAAAAATCCGTTACCAAAACCCGATAAACATCTGGATGGTGTTCGTATCGTTAAAACCGCGAGTAAAGGAAGCGTATTGCATTCGCCTCCTAAGCCGAAACCATCTTCAGAAAGTGCAATTGTAGTTCCAAAATTATCCAAAATATCAAAGGAGGAAGGCTCCCCATCAGCCACTACTTCCAAAAAATATGTTGTGTCCAGCTCAAAGGTCATAACATCTCCGAGTGCTTCCTCCGATCAGAGTTACACCAGCTCCAAGAAAACTCCGATTCCTGCAGCACCAAGACTACAGCAGGGTAAACCAATTGTAGCTGGGGAAATTAAGTCGCAAGATGCAGAAATAAGTTCGACGAAAAATAAAAACAGCTCCCTAAAAACGGTTGTGTCCAGCTCAAAGGTCATAACATCTCCTAGTGCTTCCGCCGATCAGAGTAACACCAGCTCCAAGAAACCGATTCCAGCAGCACCAAGACTACTGCAGGGTAAACCAATTGTAGCTGGGGAAATTAAGTCGCAAGATGCAGAAATAAGTTCGACGAAAAATAAAAACAGCTCCCTGAAAACGGTTGTGTCCAGCTCAAAGGTCATAACATCTCCGAGTGCTTCCACCGATCACAGTTACACCAGCTCCAAGAAAACTCCGATTCCTGCAGCACCAAGACTACAGCAGGGTAAACCAATTGTAGCTGGGAATATTAAACCGCAAGAACCGGAAATAAAAGGCTCAACGAAAAAAATGAGCAGCTCCCTAAAAACGGTTGTGTCCAGCTCAAAGGTCATAACATCTCCGAGTGCTTCCTCCGATCAGAGTTACACCAGCTCCAAGAAAACTCCGATTCCTGCAGCACCAAGACTACAGCAGGGTAAACCAATTGTAGCTGGGGAAATTAAGTCGCAAGATGCAGAAATAAGTTCGACGAAAAAAAAAAACAGCTCCCTAAAAACGTTTGTGTCCAGCTCAAAGGTCATAACATCTCCGAGTGCTTCCACCGATCAGAGTTACACCAGCTCCAAGAAAACTCCGATGCCTGCAGCACCAAGACTACAGCAGGGTAAACCAATTGTAGCTGGGAATATTAAACCGCAAGAACCGGAAATAAAAGGCTCAACGAAAAAAATGAGCAGCTCCCTAAAAACGGTTGTGTCCAGCTCAAAGGTCATAACATCTCCGAGTGCTTCCTCCGATCAGAGTTACACCAGCTCCAAGAAAACTCCGATTCCTGCAGCACCAAGACTACGGCAGGGTAAACCAATTGTAGCTGGGGAAATTAAGTCGCAAGATGCAGAAATAAGTTCGACGAAAAAAAAAAACAGCTCCCTAAAAACGGTTGTGTCCAGCTCAAAGGTCATAACATCTCCTGGTGCTTCCGCCGATCAGAGTAACACCAGCTCCAAGAAACCGATTCCAGCCGCACCAAGACTACAGCAGGGTAAACCAATGTTAGCTGGGAGTATTAAGCCGCAAGATGCAGAAATAAGTTCGACGAAAAAAAAAAGCAGCTCCCTAAAAACGGTTGTGTCCAGCTCAAATGTCATAACATCTCCGAGTGCTTCCGCCGATCAGAGTAACACCAGCTCCAAGAAACCGATTCCTGCAGCACCAAGACTACAGCAGGGTAAACCAATTTTAGCTGGAAAAATTAAGTCTCAAGACGCAGAAATAATAAGCTCGACGAAAAGTGAGCTCTATAAGAAACCAGCCAGAATACCCAGCACAGGGCACGGCATTATAACAAGAGATCCCACGTTCGTGCCTTCAGGCGTAGAGAGTTCAGATTGCAGTTTCCTACCAAACGGGGCTTTCATAAGAGATTCAAAGCTGTGCGGCAAGTTTTATGTGTGTGCAAATGGTCGTGCCATACCCAAAAACTGTCCAGGAATTCTATATTTCGATATCAAGAAGAGGGTCTGTAATTTCCCCAGCCTGGTGGACTGCAGAAACAACAATAATGTACACACCGCTGCTCCAATCAAACCTTCGACTTCCGCTACCCTGCCGCCAAATACACCAATTCCAGATTGTAGCTCATTGCCAAATGGCGCCTATCTACGGCATCCAAATTCGTGTAGCAAGTTTTATGTTTGTGCGAATGGCCGTGCCATACCTAGAGAGTGCCCCAGAGGCCTTTATATAGACACAGAGATGAAATATTGCGATTTCCCCAGACGAGTGGCATGTTCCTTAGATGAGGCACAGAGCCCAAGCCGTGCTCAGGGTCTAGAAAATATCGCAGCAACATCCCTTGGTCAGCCCGACTGTAGCGATAAGCCCGATGGAACCACTCTGCGCGACTCGAAACAGTGTAATAAGTATTATATCTGCGTAAGAGGAATTCCAACTACCCATTTCTGTGCGCCTGGCAAATGGTTTGACCTCAATCGCCAGGTCTGTGACCCAAAGCGTCTGGTCGAGTGCAGTAATTGAGTGGGTAGAGCTCATTATATGAAGTAAGAGTATTATGGATTATGTATATGGTATAATAGGTGAAGGGCTATCAATTTGAATAAGAATATATTATAGAACTGGTTATGGTGTTTGTTATTTATAAGGATATAATGCAAAATGTTATCCAGTGTATTCCGACAAAAGTATTTACATTACTTAATGTCTTCTACAGGGAATAAATCAAATATTTTAACATCCTGACTTTTCACATCTTGAATTATATTCCAGACTTTGTCGTTGTGGTATACACTAATCGAATCAGTTATATTTTGATTAATTCAATTTTCTTCCAAGATACTTGCAGACTCCCTGGCGTCAGTTGGGCCTGGGACGTGTAAGTCCTTGAAGTGTGGCGACAAATTACGGGACAGGGCGCAAACCACTTCTTTAGGGCGGAGAGGGGTTGAAATCGATTTTGTTTCAAGACAGTTCACGTGACAGAACTCAAGACAGAACGTTTAGACGCCCAGCAACGATTCGAGTTACATATGAGCCAAGTGATAAGAAACGCCGACACCTCATCAAGAGCCACCCCGGAACAGCCCTTGTCACAGTTAGTGGCTGCTGCACAGGCAAAAGGACATTTGAAAATAACTAAAAAACAAAAATAAGAGGATTGGCTAACTTTAACTGTTAGATTTGAAATGATCTCTTAACTACGATTCAAGTTTTACAAAAAAAATTCAAATGTATTTATGGCTGACCCCGTTTGACATTGTTAGATTAGGTAGCTCAATAAGGGAATTAGGCGCCAAAAACTTGAGTACAGTAAAATAGTATTATAAATGCCAGAGCCAGAGCGAGCTGCAGGCAATGCAGACAACAGAGAGAGGGAGAGAGAGAGAGAGAGAGAGAGAGTGAATGAGAGTCAGAGAGAGCTTATGGGGTGCGCCCAACTGCGCGCTCTTTATGGTGGTGGTTGGTAACTTGGTAGCCGCATCAACGCCGGCTATTGTCAAAATGTTGCCAAAGGTCGCAGTCGGTGTTCGTATTCAACGGGCAAACTGACAGCTTTCGATTCGAAAATAACATTTGTGAACAAGCGTTTAACAGTGAAATGTTAGTGAGATTCGATTGAAATACGAATGGAATCGCTAAGCTGTTAAGCATTTACAGTTTCTTAGAAATAAACTGTTAACTGACGCGCTGCTATTTTCAGGCATTTCAGTTGGCCGTCCATAGTGTCATCTCGCTCGCACTGAACACAACATTCAATCGATAAACTTAACAGTGGGCTGCCAACTTAAACATAAATGTATGATGCTAACTCAGCGGTCATTGGGGCTAGTGACGAGTAGACTCAGTAGCAGTCGCAGTGTCAGCGTTGAGACGTCCAGACGGAAATGTGCAAACATTAAAAGCGCCACAAATTATATTCCGCTGTGCGCTTGTGTGTGTCCTGTGAAATGTGAAAATGTTAAAATGCAATGCACATAAATAAATGCAAGTGCTGCAACGCAAAAACAACGCATCTTCAAACTGAAATTCAACAAATAAAAGCGAAAGCCAAGTGCAAGTTGAGACGAGTACAAACAGTTGCCGTTTTGCCGTTTTGCCGTTGTACTTAGTGTGAGTATTTGGCAACGGGCGTTAACGAAGGCGCAAGCACACAGGTAATATTTTTTAACAGCAACTTTTGTCGTTGATTTTTCTGAACTTTAACTACGGCAAGCGACAACAACAACAATAACAACAACAAAAAATACAGAGAACGAGCATAAAAAATAACTGGCACTGTAGTAAAAGTAAATTGAGAAAGTAGCGAGTAAAAGCGCCACACGACCCCCCCGCTTCCAAATGCCCTGCAGCAGTGGTAGCAGCAGCAGCAGCAGTAGCAGCAGCAAGTGCTTTGTCGCTGTTGAGGGTTCTTGTTGTTGTAGTTGAAGTCGCTTGTCGCTTGTCGTTTGCGCCTGTGCCGGGGGTTGCTTGGTTTCAACGCGGCACTTGCCTACGTGTGTGTGCGTGTGTTTGTAACGGTTAATCTCATTCATCAGAGAGTCGAGTTTTACACATTTTTACGCCTGCGAGTATACTACGTTAGCAACGAGCAGTGCCGATGACTCGCTCGCTGCCCTCCCCGCGCACCCTTAACTTTAACAGCACTCTCTTGCGTGAGGGAAAGAGAGAGAGAGAGAGAGAGAGTGAGAGAGAGTCGCAAGCAATGCACAAAAGCCGCTGTTAATGTTGTCCGCTCGCTTGCACGCACAGTGCTAAAGGCGCAGTTAGTGGTCGATTTTAAAAGTCCTTCACGTAGCGACTTAGTCATGTATGTGTGCGTGTATACACTGTAAAAGTAGTGCCAAGCGCTGTACATAGGCACAAGTATAATAACATATACATATGCTTAGAGGAATACATACAAATATACATATTAATGTTGTATATGTCAGATTTTCGTAGCCAGGGTCAGGGTGTGTGTAATGGAATATCATTTCGTTGCGTTTTTTTATGTATTATACATTTCCAGACAAACAGAGTTTGCGGCAGGTGCGAGTATACCCAGTTGAACAGTGTAAAGTTAGTTTATGCCCATACGCATATACGGATTCGTACTCGCACATGCGTATCCTCAGTCGTATTAATCATTAAAATGACCTCGACCCTTTCTAGCTTCGCCCCCACGCCCCAGCATTTCCTCTCGACGCCCAAAATGTCGGCCAGGGATGCTGGATATGTCGCCTGTCAGCTTTTGTGCCCAAATGAGAAAACTGCCAACTGCTAAACAGAAAAATAAATAAATAAATGTGATTGCGATTGCGGCTTGTTGTTGCGAATTTTGTTGACAGTCGCCCCAAACCTGATACCCTGCCGCCCGCCCCCTTATTGCCATGGCTTAAGCTATTAATCTGTCCGCATCCAAATCGAATACATGTATTTTCATATTATTTTCCCTTTTTCTTCTTTTTTTTTTTTTGCATACATACATGATTTAGTTTTGCGTTCGTTCTTGTCGTCAACCTAGTCCTGGTTGTATCGGGTCTTGGCATCTTGGGATTGACCCAGTTGTCACTCGTTCAAGCACTAAGCCATTTCCTCACCAAGCCCCATTTTGTCATCGCGCACAATCCTATCTCCAGTTGTATCTGATTTGGCACTTTTGGCGCTCAAGGAAATAAGCGTTATAAGTGGTTTCCGAGAGTCTTTGTGGGGAAAGGGGATTGTCTAGTGGATTGTTAATCAAATATTGACAGCAAATCAGAGTGTGTAACGCAGGCGGAAAACGGCAGAGTAACAGATAAATGTACTGAATAAAGTTGGACTAATTTATGGTAGAGGCGTGCCGGAAAGATTTCCGAATGGTTCTTTCTTAACTTTTCAAAATTTCATTTTAATGATGGATTCCCTTAACATAGAATAAACAAATCAGCTAGTTATTAAATGGTGTCATGCTAGTTAAAGTCCAGAAATGTGTGGGACTAGAGTTTTATTGTCCAGATAGCACCTGCCAGGCGCGTATCTTGTTGTCCGAGTAGCCAGCAAAGAGTGTCTGGCCATCTATGGACCAGGCCAGCGATAGGCACTGCGGCAGATCGCCTTTAGCCGTTGGCGGCACATCCTCCAGCCACAGATCAAATGCAGCTTTCTTCGAGGCCAGATCCCATACAATTATCGATGAGCCGCAGGCAACACAAAGCCAGTAACGACATGGTGAAAAGGACATGGCATTAACCACATCATGATGATCCAGCGGATACAGATTGCGGCCATCGCTCAGATCCCAAAAGAGCACCTTGGCATCCTTGCCGCCCGATGTGCACAGCGAGCCGTCCGGCGAGACGGCCACCGTGGAGAGGTACCCAGTGTGTCCATGATGATTATTACGCAGCTTGCAGTGGGTCAAGTCCCAGACCTTCACGGTGCGATCCCAGCCGCACGAGACGATCAACGGATTGGAATGCTTGGGTGAGAAGCGCACGCAAGATATCCAATCGGTGTGGCAGTCATCAGTTATGGTATACTTGCAATCCGCCAGCGTGTTCCACAGCTTGATGGTGCGGTCACGCGAGCCCGAGACTATCTGTCGATTGTCAGGGGAAAAGGCCACCGAAAGCACGTCCTTGGCATGTCCCTCAAAGCGATGCGTCGTGGCGCTGGCAGTCAGATCCCACAGCCGGATGGTGCGATCCCAGGAGCCGGACAGCGCAAAATTGCCATCGGATGAGAGCACCACGTCGCTGATGAAGTGCGAGTGTCCATAGTTCCGCTTCAGCGTATAACCGTAGTTATTCTGGCTCTCACGCGTCAACCGCCACACGATGATAGTCTTGTCCCGGGACGACGAGACCAACAGATCCGGATCGTACGGATGCGGCGCCACCTGAGTAACCCAGCCACTGTGGCCGGAAAGGACACCAGCTAATTGTATGACCTCTGGCATATTGTTTGTTTTTTTTCCTATTTTTGTTATTTTTCAAATTTTCAAGCTTTGTATTTATTTCCTTATTTATAGATCAATCCCAGTTTATGAAAGGATTGCCTAGTTTGCAGTTTCAAGAATATCCAGAATGTCAGAATATTTTCAGAGATTTTTTCGGCTTGATCTAGTTATATTTTCTTGTCGTTCTTTCTGCTTGTTGTTGGACTCAATCTAATTATTAGTAATATTTAAAAGTATCCCTTTCTATGGTGCTATCCTATCTGAAAACACTTCGGTATTTATTGTCCAATCGTATATCAAAAAAAAAACAAGGTATACCTCTTGTTGTTGATATAAAGTGAAGATATATAGAATGAGATGTCCAGCATGAGTGTGATGATGATAGTAAAGAAACATAAATAGTCGCCATTTTGGCGGCCATCTATCAATATTTAAAGTCTTGGCAATTGCTCTACATAATTTCGATTGGGGTGGGTGCACGTGTTCCGTCCCTTCCCTTCGTGCGCTCCTTCATTTAAGGGCGATGACGTAAAATGAAAAATGACGTTAAGCAACGCGAAAGCTTTGCCAGACGTCGGCACCTGAAACAAAAGCCCAAAAAGGTAAAGGATAAAGAAGAAACCAGTTAAAAATTGCTTTAAAATGCACATGCATAAGTGCGTGTATGTGTGTATTTGTGTGCGTGTGTGTGTGTGAGTTTGTGTCTGACTGTCTGTGTGTGAGTATTGAGCGGGCGCTGGCCAAAACAATGCGGCTTTTCGACGACTCGCTTGAAAAATTACTCATACGGCAATGAAATACGAAAGTGTGTGTGAGTGTGTGTGTGTGTGTGTGTGTGTGTAAGTGTGGATGGCGCCAGCAGCGCTCTGTTGTTGCTGGCATCGGCTGTTGGCAGTCGCCATTCAGCAGACAAATGGACACGGCCAAAGACGGGTGGCTAGACTGACGGGCAGACCCAGCAAGAGGGGGTGAGGGGGGCAGCGAGAGGGGCGTATGGGGAAGGGGAGGGCGCAAATTGAGACAGAGACACGGAGCAAGAGTACTTTTTGCATTCGCCGGCGAGTTGTTTAGGGTGCATGCGGGTGTTGGATAAAGTGTTGCCAACACACATAAAAACACTTTGCCGTTACATATAAAGTAATTTCTTTTGTTTACAGGAGACCAGCAGTTAATATAGATGTGTATGTATGTGTGTGTATCAGTGTATATGTGCGCTTTTATGTTGCCTTTCTTCTTTTTGTTTTTTGTGGATTTAATGTACTGTTGTTAATGGAAATTTCGTTATGCGAGCCACAGCGCTGATTATTTATTTATATTTATAGTTTCCCTTAATATTTGCCGCTCTAATATATCTGACATTGTTTTTTTTTTTGTGAGGTTCTTTGATATTCTGACTGCTTTATGGAATACTATATATATCAAGCCCGATCCTTACCGGGAATTTATTTATTTCCGTTAATTTAAGCCGAAACTTTTCTAAATGCAACTCTCTTTTGGAATCTGATAATTTTGATATATAGTTTAGTGGAAAATTCGTTAAAGAGCTTTGTAAAAATTCATCTTTACGTTTTGCAGACTCTTAAGAAAATATACATCCCAGTGAGAAATGGGTGGAAAGCTGATTTACAATTTTAATGTGAATCCGTTGCCTATGCATGTATAATTATTCCATGTAAGCGTATACAATTTTTATAGTATGCATATACTTGTGTATTCGTATGTGTATGCATATGTGTGTATGTATTTATGAATGTACGCAGGCCAGGTTTACTTCCCGCTGCTCTGCACAAATTTAAGAAAAAACGTAGTTTAAAAATTATATTGTTCTCTGCGATTCTCATGAATTCATGTAGGCTTTGCAGATCTTTCTGCTTCGACAGAAAGTCAAGTGAAGTGTTACAAATGTTTTGTGGAATGTATTACTCTTTTTTATGTATATGGGATACATGTAAGTATATCTAGTACGCAAATATATCTTTATATATAAAACTGTTTGTCCTGATTGGTGATCAATGGACAGCCCAAATTAGAAGAGCTGGGTAGCTGAAATGAATACGCGTTTTAGCGGTTTGGGGAACTCCACCAGCAACTATGGAAATTTGGCGGACAATTTTCACCTGTTTTGTTTCTTGTCGGCTTCGAATTCATTTTCAGAGATCTTTGTTAACATTAATTTGATACGTTTTTCGCAAAATATCCGCTCTTGGATGAAAAATGCTGGTCAAATGTTTAATGGACGAAAGTTTACTTTTCGGCTTCAAGTTTCTCAACACAAAAAGAAAATGAGTGTAAAGCGTTCTTTCCAACTTTTGGTTTTTTATTCGATGGACTCTGGATATATACAAAAAAGGCGTGGACTTTAAGGTAGTACGGGTAAATTTAAATATTTCACGGACAAGAACTGGATAAAAGGTTTATTTACAATTTTAGGCACAAAACTTGCCACGGGAAACACAGCCGGGATATTGCCGCTAGTGTATGTGTATATGTTTGTTTGTACATATGCGTACATGTTTGCATGTATATATGTGTTTATATATGTATGAATAAATATATTTGAGTCCATATGTGTACTTTTTGTTTACCAAGCGCAGAATAAGTTTACTTTTTGCTGCGCTGCAAGTTAAATTTATAAATTATAAATATATAGAATTATAGAATTATTTTGCACATATTGTCATATAATATTTATATATTAATAAGAATAATATTATATATGTTAATAAAAATATACGTAAAGGCAATTTAGGCCTGGCCACGGGATATTTCCCAGCTATTAATATTTCTTCTTCAGTCTAGAAATGTCATTTGAGCGCGCCTCATAAATAATATGAACTAAATAATAGCAACTAAATTAAAACATAAATAAAAAGGGGCAAACGTGTATGTATTAGTGCACACACCATGCATATAGAGACCTAAATAAGACACAGGAATAAAACTCCAAAGCAATTGCCCGATGAAACCCCGCAGGGCCATTAATTGTATGCTACTCTACAATTTCTCTCTTGCTTTGTACACTCTGCCATTGTGTTTTCCATTTTGTGTGCCATGTTTTACGCACACACATACAGAACACACAGTCACACACACACACACACACGCACACTTGTCAGTTGTTATTGTTGCTGTTGATAGTTTTGTTTGTTTCGCCTGGCTAAAGCCGCTTTAGACGCGTTGTTGCTTTTGGGCTTTAGTTCCTTTTTGTTGATACGCTGTCGGTGTTTGTAATTTATGCGGCTTCTGACGCCTTCCCTCCTGTCCAGTCCATCAACATGAACAACATCGGTTCGGAGTGATATAACAACAATTACAATTTACGTTCATTTGGGGCTAGCAAAAAGCGAAAACTCTGTCGGCTTTTAACCACACATCGATTGATATTTATCTAAACAGTTTTCGATTCCCATAGCTTAAAACTCTTATAATATTATTGCTTTTATTTTTCTATTCATTTACGGTTGCAGCTTCAATTTATTTTCATTAATTAATTACGAAAAACGAAGGGATATTAAAAGAATTTCGAGCATTAGCCGTTGACCAAGCCAAGCCAAGCCAAATTGGTTGCCATGGCTGCCCGAACAACAGCAACAACACAACACAAAGTTCAAATTGATACTTCCACATCCTGTCTATACACTGCAATTCAATATTTAGTCGTTGGGTCTTACTTTGTTTCACTTAGCTTCTATAATTAACTCTAATTATCGCTAATGAAAATTGTTAGCACCCAAATAACCTTGATAATCTATAGGTATGAGTTCTGTTCGAGTATATGTAACGTCTTGCAGGATTGCTTTAATTTTAAAGAACAATTTACTCAAATCAGATGTCCTGAGCTTTGAAAAGAGCGCTTGCAGCCAAATTTGTTAGTCTACTTGGCAGGAGAAGTCAAAACGTGCAGCGGGAAAAGTCAGAAAAACTATAATCAAATTTAATTAAAGGCGAAATTGGAGCGCTCGAAGGATAACAAACAGTGAACGTGTATGTGACACATCTAAAGTCCGAGGCATGAATGGTCCAGCAGATGCGAGAGAGCAACAGACTGAGAGGAATAGAGAGAGAGAGAGAGAGAGACAACTAGCGAGGGAATAGGAGAAATGCTGCAAGCAAATAAAGCACAACAAAATATGTGTGATACATTTTTTTGCTGCTGCTGTTGCCTCTGTGCCCGATTCTGTTGCTGCTACTGGCTTCTCATTATTATTTTGCCTTTTATGTGGCACAAGAATAGAGTGAGTGCGGCGCGTGGTGAGGTGAGGTCGGGTCGGCACGGTCAGGGGGTACACGCCCCGCCAGCAGCGACCCGGTCTGCTCGGGGGCTGCCGTTGATTTCTAATGTGATAAACTTTTGATGGCACAAAGGCGCTGCCATGCCAGCTGCTCTCCCGTAGCGCACGGCCTGCAGCAAACCACTGTATAGCATAGCCGAGCATAGCCGCCGCATCCGCACCCTCACCCGCACCCGCACCCTCACCCGCACCCGCACCCGCACCCGCAGCCACCCCTCAGCTTTGCTAAGGAAATTATTTTACGGCTGCAGCTGGGTCGGGCGGCTCTCTAAAAACCAACGCCAGTTTCTTATTGCCCAGTCATGCAGTTGAGTCTTGTTATTATTTCAAGCGGACAGGCACACGCACACGCACTATGTGGCTAGGGTTCGAGCTTCAATAATAAACTAGGCACCGCAGCGTATACGTAATATCTCATTTGCTTTTAAATGCGCATACGCCACCGGGGCACGTCCAGGGCTGAGCTTTCCTCTGGCATCTGAATAATTTTATGCATCGATTTTCCGATTTGTGTGATACTTATGAATCGCTGGAGCCGGGAACACTCAGAAACAGGCAGAGGAGAGAGTGAGAGAGAGAAGTGGGAGAGGCAGAGAGCCGAAATAATGTAATATCTGTAGAACCTGTCAATAACTTGGTAACAGATTAAACGAAAATAACTCCTTTTTATCTTAAACTACTGATTATCTTCAAGCTGCAGCTGAACTTGAAAGGAGTACAGTTAGTTTTTGTGACCTTATATTATTAATTCATCAACTAATAGATCAATTTTAATTTAAACTAGAAAGAATAGGTATTATACCTTGGTAGAGGCTATTACCATTTTGTCATGAATTGTGTTCAGTACGTCTCCGACCCCATAAAGAATAAATATCGTTTAGATTCTCAGCTCTTAAAGCTATCATCGTGAGACTTTACTTGGTTAATATGTCGGAAGCCGCCGGGTCGGACCACAGCTATATGATGAGCTGAAATAGGTACGATCGGGCGGAAGACAGGTTCTTGATATATGCAAAATCCTATCACTATCGGACCACTATATCATATAGCTTCCATAGGAAAGATCGGTCGAAAGGCAGATTCTTGTATGGCAAAATATTCTGTTCGTCCAAGATATTTTCGTCAACTTCGGCATTTGCTAACTTCACTATTCTCACATATCTGCCAAAACCGTAAGGCAAATGCAAACAAGCATATTTCTTCTTCATATCCTTACTTTCGCGTTTCCAATTTGTATACAATACTTTTATGGCTAGGAGCGTAAAATGTCACATGGTTGAATGTTGTTCGGCATATCTTAAAACTAAGTTGTTACCTCAAGAACTCGTTTTAAGACGGAAACATAATATAGACGTCCAACATAGCTGGGTTTGTTAAAGATATCTTAAAACACAAAACACAATATCTTACAAAAATTAAAGTAAATAAAGTATATCTATTCTAGCCGCGCCGCATTAGTTACTTTAAAATCCTAAATGTGGAAAACTGTATGAACTCAAAAAAAATAATAATCATAATTTACTTTAGAACTGAATTTGGTTTTTCAATTGCGAGCTTAGATTTTAATTATTGCTGCTTCTATGTAAAAATGCAATTTCTAATTGCTTTGCATTTCGCCCTCTTTTTTGCAGGCTTGATGATAAATGCAGCCGCTGACAATTAATATGGAATCGAGCGAAATGTCGAAACGAGCATTTGGCTGAGCATAAAACATTGCGCATACGCCGCGTGGTCCGCAGAGGGGGAAACTCATAAATGAATGCTTTTAATTGCGAAACAATGACGTTTGCCAGAACAAATACGGAGAGCATAAAAGCAACAACGGTTGCTAGATCAACGGCAACAACAACAAAAACAAAAACAAACTTTTTGACCAGCTGCAGCTGTGAAATTTGTGAAAATCGCGAAATTTGAGCCAGCAGAATGCTGCTGATGCCAACATCGTGTGGCCCCGGGCCGCCAGCGGACGCACACGCCGTTGACCCTAGCCCAGCACAGGAACGTACACGCAGTCGACTGCGTGAACTGGCAGAGACCCAGAGCCCAACTGGCCTGGCAACAACGGGCATTCCCAAATGGCTTCTAATGCTGCTCATGCTCATTGCCATTGTGGCCCAAACGCCGCAGAGCCAAGTGGCTGCCGAGAAGAGCAAACACTGTGAGTATTTACCACCATTTATGTATATATATATATATATTTATGTTTTAGCCAAAGATCGAAGTTTTGCACAACTTTTACCCTTGTTCTGTGTCCACTTGAATTTCGGAAAACAATTTGTCCCTTTTCTCAGCGCTCAACTTTTGCGACAAGCAGCAAATAATTTCGTTGGCAAAAATAAAACTTTGCTCTTATTTATATTGAGGGTGGCAAATTCCATTTTGACATTAATAATTCGATTAATTTTCAATACTGTGTTATGCCCCGAAAATTGAAGAAGTCCATGTGGAAAGTGGAGCCTTAGTTTCCCAAATGTGATATGAGAGCAGAGACAGAGACAGAGACTGAGACAGAGACAGGTTTGACTAGTTGGGCTTGTTGTCAGGCTTGATTCTGTACACGTTCTAATTGAAATACTGCCCGGCATTCAAGTAATAAAGAAAATTGTTATCTTTTGGCCAACAATCGATGTGCAATATGTCAACTGTGCTGACAGCCTGCCGAGCCCAGGCAAACGTGATACATTTTGGCATTTTGTCTCGCTTTTGTTTTGTTTTTTTATGTGCTTCTCTTTTGTGGTCTTTGTCACAAAATATTTGTTTACAATTTGAATATTTCTTTGCCTCTCTCGGGCAGAACAATAAAACTCCATCGAGGAAATGTAATAAAAGTGCATGAAAATGTTGCTAAAAATCAAAAAAAATAAAAGCAAAATGCTTGCACTATAAAATACACACAAACAAGAACACGGCGTATGTGTGTGTGTGTGTGTATTTTTTTTGTGGTAATTCATACACATTGTACATATTGTTTATGCGAAGAATAAACAACATATAAATGCGATTTTACGATGAGGCGGCAACTTGCATACTAAACAGCTCGACACACACACACACACAGACACACACACACACACACACACACACACACTCACACTGACTTGCACGAGCATGCGTGTGTGTGTGCTGGAATGTCTTCGGTCCAAGCAAGTCTTAAAGTTGACAAAAACCCCCACAACATTTTAATCAAAGCTGCAATAACAAGAAATCTTTCGCATTTTACTTCTTATTAGCAACAAATAAAAAAGTCATACGTTAAACGTATGAGAATTTCTTATACCCTGCCAAACAGCTAAAATATGACTATATACATATATAATAAAATCTGCATTTATTTAACTCAGTTTGATTAATGTTACAAGTCTGAATATTAAATGATGTTTTTGGCGAATGTCAAAACTCACGCAAAATACATTCCGAATTTTTTTGATTTGTTGCTTATCAAAGTTACATAATGCGTTGTTTACATAGTCTTCAATCATTTCATATTTCGCACACACACATGCACACATTTCCAAATGGGGTGTGGCTTTTGGGGAGGCTGAAACATTGCATTGCAATTGCTGGCAAATGAAATGAAATCGCTGGAGCGTTGCGACGACGACGGCGACGAAAGTTGTTGCCGCAAATTATTTCCGTATTTTAGCATTAAATCATAATTAAAAATTTCAAGTAAAACAACTTACAAGTCGACGTCGACGTCGACGTCGCGACGTTCGCAGCAGCGAAACTTTGCGCTGTGCAAAAGTTGTTGCCTACTTTTTTGGGCATGTTTCCGGTTGCCGCTGCCCGCTGCTGCTGCTGCTGCTGCTAGCAGCGCTGCCTGCTGCGCTATACGCTTCTAATTGCAAGCTCGGGTGACGGCTCGGATTTTCTCTGCTGCCTGTTGTTTGTGTTCTTGTTGCAATTCTTCTTCTTGCTCGTTTCCGGAGGCGACATAAAAACAACAACAAGCACAATGCTTAGCGCGCCGTTTCTGTTGCTGCTGCTGTTTTTGCGACTGCGTCTGCTGTTTGCTGTGCCCATACACACACACGCGCACGCATCAACCCGCTCCTCCCTTGTTGGCCATCCGCAGCAGACTTGCGGCTTACGTGGCGTATACTTAATTTTCTCATGCTCATTGCCAGGCGCGTTATAACAATTTTTTTTTTCGCTGCGCACTGCACTTGGCCAAAGGGGCGACGGTGCTCGGGCCAAAGGCTGCCGCTGTCGCTGTCGCTGTCGCTGCCTCTGCCGCAGCCTCTGTCTCGGCTGGCAGAATGGAAGGTTTTCTCAACTCGTTCAACAAAATGTTGTACAAAAGTTTCATAATTAATTTCATGTTAAGTGGCAATGCGAAACGTAACGTAGGCAGTTCCTGCAACTCCGATTGCCCCCGCAGGCCCGCCCCCCTTCAAGCTCTGCCACACCCCGCCCCATTTGCACATCGTTCCGCCCGCTGCTCGCCACAGTCGTGTATTTTTTGGACCGTTGTCTTTAATTTGAATTGTCATTTCCTGTCTCAAACACTCGACGCCACTCGCTTGTTGCCGCTGCACCCTTCCCCCCGTTCCGTCCGCACACTCACACATTTGTCGGTTCTCTAGCGGTCTGCCAGCCATCCGGCTGACTGCCACGCCCCGTCGCCGTCGCCGTCGCTGCTGCTGGTGCTGCTGCTGGTGATGCGCACGTTCAACTTGATTAGCGTAACTTGTAATGACTCGCACGAGCTGCGACTCAGGGCAAACTTGTTGGAACCCGGTGTCCCTGGTTCGCTGTTGCCCTGGTTTCCCAGTGCCAGACATTCACTTACTTGAGTAAATATGTGTGCTCAACGTGTGCGTGTGTGTGTGTGTGCGTGTGCGTGTGCATCTGTCTTTCGTATTTGCAAGTGGTTTTCATAATTACTTTGTGTGTTCACTTCAAATTATCTGAAGCGCACAAGTGAAGCGCCTGTGCTTGAGTTATACCCGCCTGTTGGCATCTTCCTAACCCGAACTTATTCAATTTGTTAAATGTTTACCACATCATCGCAATATAATTAAGTTTTCAGAAGAGCAAAGAGTGCTAAATGAGTGTATGTACATGTCTTAGGCGCTCGCTCTCGCGCATTTGCTCTCTTGCGAGCTCGGGACTTTTTCAATTCCGCTTTGCGTCGCATCCGCAAACGATACTCGCCTGTTGAAGCCATACAGATTTTGCCTTTAAAATGAGCCTGAACACTCTCTTAGCAACTACTCTCTAAAGCAACTATATATATATGTATTGTCATGACAGTTTTCCAATTTGCTGCGGAATACTGGAAAATGTCATCACAAGCAATCAGTATCCGAATGAAATAAGCTGCCGCTTGCCGAACTTTCCCGCGCACAAGCAATTGTGTCGCTTTGTGCAATAATACGAGCATTACAACATTTTTTTTTATTTTTTTTTTACATAAAATGGGTCACGTTGCTCGGTGTGAGGGGGCCGAAGATTTTCCTTTGGCAGACTCCAGCAGCCGCTGATGGCCGACTGCCAATAAAATTGCGAGAAAAACAACTGTCGACGACCAAGAAGTGGCATAAAACTTTTGCTTTTGGTTTGCCATAAATATGAATGGATGGATTTGGGTCTGAATGGGTTGGCTGGACGGGGGCGTGGGCGTGGGCGGGGGGCGGTGGCGCAGTACCAGTTGCCACTGCGGCACATTTTCAAAAAGAATAAGATTGAGCCAAGGGAGAGGGGCAGAGCTGCTGGCGGAGGGGTCTTTTAACATTATGACAGCTTTGCGGAAGCAATAAATTTAAATTTCATAAGAATCCATCTGCATACGAATCCAGATTTGCAACAAGCCACAGAATTTAGCATGAGCCTAAACCTTTTTATTCCCATTGCATGATTTATACGATGTAAGCGGATTTTCTATACGCAATTGGCAGGTTTAATAAAGAGTTCTTGTTGAAAACATTTCGATTGCTTTGTTATGGTAATGTTCAGTTTTTAGAGAAGAATTAAAAAATCTATTTTAAGTTCGAATGAAGAAACTGCTGTTGGCCTGTTTAAAAAGACAGAGAGCTTTTCTAAAATTAAACATAATGCTTTACATAAACTACTTAATAGATTATCTCTGAATTATTTATATTCAAACTGACAAAGCTGGATAATAGATTTGGTCGTTAGCCCGCTTCACAGCTGAATGGAAAGATAAATGTTTATGTTTGATAAATTCATGGCTGTAAAATCAAAGCGCGAATGAAATCAAGCAACACATAACAAATGTCATTTATAGCCAAACATTTTTGCCACATGAACTGCCAGGGGGGGGGGGCCAAAACAAATATAGAATTAGGAGGAGGGGGAGAAGGATTCAGAGTTCACCCAGCCCATGCCAAATGGACGATTGATGCGTTGCCTGCTCCTGGCTGTGGGCAAATCTCTTGCTGCCACCAAAAACCCAGAAAGCCAAACAATAAATTGGCCAAATTGTCGATGAATGTGGTGTATGCGTGTGCGTGTGTGTGTGTATGCGTGTGTGTGTGCGGGGGTAGGCGTTGTGTGTCGGCCCGGATCGGGGTTGGGTTATTTATCAATGTTTTCTGGTCAAGCGAGAAACAGTAAACTGTTATTGTTTGCAATCAAGCTGCGAGCCGCCGACTGCGAATCGGGCTGTTTCTTTTTTTTTTTTTTTTTTAATTGGTTTCCCTCCCATTTGTGCATTTGGCGAATTTGAATCTAATTTTAATTGGCTGCCGCTGTCCGTGGAAAACGGAGCAATTTGTGTTGATAATTTTAAATGGCAATTTGAAATCAATTCGCTTTTTTGCTGCCTGCTATTATGATACCCACCAATTAGTGATTCTTGTTCTTGTACCCTGTATCCGTGGTAAATGGGTATATAACGTCTGAATAGACATTATCAGGGTGACGAGTTGATTCGATCTAGAGATGCGTTTACCACGAGCTTATCATTTCTATACCTCTCATTTGCATAATTTGGATATTTATTTGAATTGGATTTCAATTGATTCTTTAAGCATAACTCAACAATTTTAAGCGCTAGATTTGCATATAAGACGCAAAAATTAAGAATATTTCACTTATCAGACAATAATGTGAGCCTAGATAAGGATCAGACGAGGCTAATCAAATGCAAAGCATTTCCCATTCATGGTCTGCCACTGGGTGGAGGGTATCCCC